TGGCGCTCACGTGGACGGGCCTTTAGTCGCGGTTCTTAAGCAACCGCGACTAAAGGGGGGGGGGCCTTTAGTCGCGCCCGGTCGGTCGCGGTTGCGCAACCGCGACTAATGGCAGTTGCGAACCGCGACCAAAGGCCTTTTTTCCACCAGTGTTAGTTAATTCTATGCTTAAAATTATCAAGCATTTGTTTTTACTAAAGAAGCATCTTAGCTAGACAGTACCGTCCATGTGCTTGATATCTTGTGTTGCCTCTATTAGTTATGGTCTGCTAGGTAGACTTCTTTCCTTACCATAGCATTGCTGATTATCATCAGAAATGTATGATCACTTCAACAATGGATTCATATCATCTCCGTAATTAATATGCAGCTTGCTGACACTTGAGAGGCAGCAAAGACAGACGCGGACGGGAATGTGTCTGTTGTATTTGATACCATGAGGAAAGAGAAAAGCGTGAGGCTGAAGAGCCATGTTAAACGGATGATATGACAGATTGGAAGGAGAATACACAGAGCAACTTGTCTCTGTTCCACTTCCACCACAACTGCAATATATACTACTCCCTCCGTTCCAAAATAAGTGACTCAAAAGTGACTCAACTTTGTACTAAGTTGAGTCACTTTTGAGTCACTTATTTTGGGACGGAGGGAGTATATGTGTATGGTCTACAAGCCACGTCTTGGTCTTGGTCTTGCCATGCATACTTTTCCTACCCTCGAGGTAAGTTGACATGATTCAGACAGTACCATGCACAACATGGCAGCCAAGTTCGAGCTTGAATCTTCTATCGAAGATTCGCTCAATAACACCAGCAATATCTGCACATTGTGGGTCAGATGACACATCTAGCATTAAGGTTCAGAGATTTTTGAATGTTGGCAAACTCTCCCTCTGTTTGCCACATGTATATCATTTTAATCCAACCCCCAAAATGAATAGACATTCATGTACTCAGCAATCAGCAAAAGCAATCAAAAGGGCAGTTTAAAAAAACCATCAGGATTTGTGATACTCCTATTGTATGGTCTACAAGCAAATCTAGTCCGAGCCATGGTCTTATCATGCTGTATGCATACTTTTTTAAAGATTTGGACAGTCCCTGAATTGCAGTGCTGCGCCCTTATGTCAGGCAGCATATAGGAAGAACCTCAAAACGTCCCTGAACCTCGCCCACGGTATCCAGGAAGCACAGCCGTGACAAAGAAACCATAGTAACGCTGGACATATCTCTGTCCGATTCCGGCTGAAAAGTATATATACACAAGAGCTGGACCGATCCTACCGGAGTATCTATTCAGGACTGGAACGGTCACTGACAAGGTTGACGGACTTGAGGTCTTTGCATGCTCCGGTGGCGGCCAGGCTTCAGATAAGGCCGTCAGAAAAACTGCAGAAAATTCAGACGCAAGTGTGTGGACGTGATGACGCTGTAAGAGGGTTTTTAAACTCCTGCGGCCTCAATCTGATGAGCATCCAGCTTTCACAGGCACACCTCACAACCCGGCCGGCAGCAAAACCATGGAAGGAAGCGGGCCGCCATTCCGAGCGATCCGGCCGAGCAAAGGTGCCATACCATACCTCATTACTAGTGAAGTATAGTACTGCAAAGCAAAACATCCATCTTTTGCCTTGCCGTCGGTTTTGTCACTACTGCCAGCAAACTCTTTCTTCACATCATTTCTGAAGTCATTGCGCTGCTCATTTACTCTTCACACTTTGCAGGTAAGGGAGGCGTCCTTACATGTGCCAGTCAAACGGCTAGGCTCACTACCACGCTTGTGCTACTGTCGTTGCTGCTCGTTTCTTGTGGAGTCGGCAGCATCCGCTGCTCCTCGATGACGACAATCCATGGTAACAGCACGGACATGATGTCGCTGCTGGATTTCAAGCGGGCCATCGCCAACGACTCGAGGCAAGCCTTGAGATCATGGCACGTCGGTCTCCCCCTTTGTAGATGGAAGGGCGTCGTCTGCAGCGACCCGAAGCACCCGGACCTAGTCATCGAGCTGAACCTTATGAACCTATCATTGTCGGGCACGATTTCACCGTCTCTTGGGAATCTAACGTTCCTTAGGATACTGGACCTGTCCAGTAATGGCTTCACCGGCCAGATACCTCCTTTCAACCGTCTCCAAAGATTGGATTACCTTAACTTGAGACACAACTCACTGCAAGGGATCATTCCGGATACTCTTACAAACTGCTCCAATCTACAGTGGCTAGTCCTGTATTACAACTTACTAATAGGAGAGCTTCCCAGAGGTATAGGCCGCCTATCCAATCTAGTGTGGTTAGAACTTGGAGGAAATAATCTCACCGAAGAAATCCCACCAAGCCTAACAAACATCAGTCACCTTGAATACATCTCGCTTGCTGATAATAAGCTTGCCGGAACCATTCCTGATGAGTTGGGAAAACTACCAAATCTTTCTGTATTAGCCCTTGATTCAAATAGGCTATCAGGTGGAATCCCGGAAGCCCTGTACAAATACAATCAGTCTTCTCTCCAAATTTTACAGTTAGGTTCCAATATGCTTGGGAAAACACTGCCATCTAACTTTGGTGATACCCTTCAGAATCTTGAAGTTCTCATTTTGTACGAAAACAATTTCGAAGGTCATATCCCAGCAGCACTAGGCAATATTTCAGGGCTAGATTGGTTAGACTTGTCATTCAACAATTTCGTTGGTCAAGTTCCAAGTTCTTTTGGTAATCTTGGACTGTTACATCACCTAGACCTTCAGCAAAACAATTTGTCGGGCTTCATTCCAGGAGAGCTGGGTGGCTTGCAACACCTCACCAATTTGTATCTGTCTGATAATAATCTGGAAGGTGGGGTACCATGAAACAGAGTCTTTGTTGGAAATAAGCGGGACAAGAGCCTTTATCAGTATTGGAGGCAACCGGTGGGGACTCCTTTGGAGGAACACTAGATATGCTCCCATGTCCTACTATCTCTCGGACAAAAGATACACATTATGTAGTACCTGATCATATAGAATATTCATTCTAATATCTGGTTTCATGCCACCCATACTGGTTATCTATTTTTTGCTCACCACGATGTCAAGAGCAAACCTGTCATTCTTGTTTTGTTTTGTTTTTTGGCCGTGTGTAATTCTCGGGGTTGGGACCTTCCCAACCAACCTTCTCTTTGGCAATAAATGACTCGGTGAGATCTCGTTCTCAGTGCTCAGCAATCTGCAAAACAAATCAAAAGGATACTTTCAGAAAAAAATCGTCATCAGGATATGTCATGCTAGCCACTGGCCAGTTACCGACCGCTCCCATTGAATGGTCTACGAGAAAAGCTAGTCCATGTCTTGTCATGCTGACTGTTCTAATACTAGAGTTATCGAAAAAAAGCTTATAACTACAGACAGTGTGGAGAGTGTTCGGATTAACTAATTGGCAAGCCCTATCAGGCACCTTTCCCGGACATCCCTTGTCTTGGTCACATTGTCATCCGTAAAGATTACACTACCCCAGTCATTAGTCTCAGGTTACCCTGCTTACAAAATAGAGAGAAGCAGCACAATTACACCACGTCATGGTCTTGGAATGCTTGCCTATTTTTCTTGTAGTGAAGTTATGGATGAAATTTACAATGACTTGGACAATCGATCAAATCAGTAAGCACATTGGTCATCAGTAATTCGGATTTTGGAGGGGTAGTATGCTTATTCTGAGTTTGTGTTTCATTGGTGATTGTAGTGTTCTCCTTGCTGCTGGTTGGAAATAATAACCATGGAAGAAACATAGAACACAATCGGTAAGCACGCACATAGAGCTCAACCAAGAATCCGTGGTTTAGCTTACAGTTGTCTTAAAGATGATGACGAGTCAATGACGATATGGCCAAGCACAACAAACAAATCGGGAAGAGAAACATATCTGAAAACAGAGGACATATTACATGACTAGCCAATGGAGTTACGATTCAGCCGTGGCAGTAAGCTTCTGCATGTTACGGCCATCAAGGACCAAGTTATTCTTCAGTGTGGGTAGAGGAGTTAATCAAGTGGAAACGGAGTAGGAGCTCCAGGTCTCGCTTCACAAAGATATTCTGAATCACTCCGTCTCGGTGAAATGGGAAGCACTGTAAAAGTGGAATCCCAAGTTACAGAATAGAACTCCAACTTCAGTTTCTCACGACACAAAACACTTCCGAAGAGTTCAACACAGATTCTCCCACCTTCGCGGGCAATGGGCTTTTGTGACCCTAGAATTCAGCGATGAAGTAGTCCAAAAGCCGAGCCCTGCCGGGTTGCAGAGCTGACAAAGCAGAGCTTCAAAAGCACTATTCACTGATGATGTGCATTATCGGCTTTGACAGCGAAGCCGGGTCTTGAGGTTTGGTTAGGTGAATCGCTTCTGTGCTGGGCTTAAGATCTGTGCGTACACAAGGCTGGAAGGTTGTGCATCTTTAACCTGAAATGAATGGATCATCACACGACTTGGTTTATGACTGTTTCAGAACTGGAGCAGAGTATATCAGAGTGAATCAGTGAAACAGAGAAGAAATGATGTATATATAAAGAGGCATGCTAAATTATCATCAATCTTAACGCCAATCATAAATAGAGCTACCCGACTGTACACTGAACTTGTGCTTTGCTTGCAGATCACTCATACTATTTTAGCATCCACCCCTTCTAGATTTCTTGCACCTCCAACATATATTTTCTAGCAAGACAAGACCGGAATGGCCATTATATATTTTCCCCTCAAGTATTACCGGAAGAGTTCAAGTATCTGCATCTGTCTCTTCTAGAATTTTATTCTTTCGTTGTTGATCTTACAGCTTGATGGAAACTGGTGAGCGTTCCTTCAGTTTTGAGTGCTCACAGCAGAACATACAAGAGTACTATAAAGAACCCAAGTCGCCATGTGCGAGGTAGACCTCATCTTTGGATGGCTCTGTGAAGATTCCTTGCTTTTCTAGAGAAGCCGCACTCCGTCGTTTCAGCTGACGATCACGGCGCGTGTGTGCTTCTGCTGTTCCCTGTAGAATGGATGGGTTCAACATCTGGTTAGTGAGCGTTTTAGTTTTGTTTGAAATTCCGGGCCACCATACAAAAAATAACGACATATGTACATAGCATGCAGTCTAAAGAAAGCTTAGAACTTTTGGTCAAGTAATCTGTGTAAAAAAAAGTTGAAGAGAATTTATAAGTATCGTGGTAACCATGGAAGTAAGTGACAAGTAATCTGTTCTCCGGTGTCGCCAGCGGCACCGAACAGAACTGACCATTGGTCACATCACAGGCAAAATGCTTGAATGGTTTTTTAGGGGAAAATGCTTAAAGATTTGGACTCCGGCAAAACTGACAAATCAAAGAGTATGCATCTGGTGCTCGACCCTTTTTCCAATACATCACATGATGTTCCACGGACCCTAAACCATGAAATAAATGTGATGAATGCTTTAAACACACACTAGATGTGATACAACCATTCCAGGTCAGGGGAGTCTTGCCACCGACGTGTCAGGCATATGCGAGGAAAGCAAAATCACATTGAAGTAACTGCCGACCGTGACGGACGAAAGAGGAGACCACAGCACAGGCAGGGAATGTGCAAAACAGGCAAATCAGTGCATGTCCTCAAATGGCACCAAAGGAACCCAACCGCCTTTTCATCACTCCAGCTTTGCATGCGATTAGAACTTCTCTCTAAGAATTAATGAAGCCAGCTCACATGACGTGATAATATAAGCATTAATTGATGGAAACTGGCAAGCGTTCCTTCAGTTTTGAACGCTCACCGCGCAACTGCCACACCATATATACTATAGTTTCTCGACCAATCTAGTACATTTTCTCCAGTGTACGTAGTACTAGTATATAAAGTCTATGAATGAACATGGGAGTATGACCGGATATAGTACTCCCTCCGTTCGGAATTACTTGTCATAAAAATGGATGTATCTACAACTAAAATATATCTAGATACATTCATTTTTTGGAAGAGTAATTCCGAACGGAAGGAGTACTAAATAAAGAACTCAAGTCACGATGTGGAGAGCTTAATTAGACCTCATCTTTGGACAGCTCCATGAAGCTTTTTTGCTTTCCTGGAGAAGGCATAATCCACCACTGCAGCTGATTGATCATGGAGTGCATGTGCTTCTGTAGTTCCCTGTAGAATGGATAGGTTAAGCATCTCTTAGCGTGCGTATTAGTTTTATTTGAAATTACAAGCCACTGTATGAAACAGCACAACATATGTGCGTCGCGTGCGGTGTGAAGAAAGCTTAATTAGTAGGCTGCTTTTAGATAGTAAAGCTTGGTAGAGCACTTACAATGTTTTTGATGCGGGCAAGTCTGGTTCACACAACACCCTCAGTTCACCGCTGTCCGCATTTATGTAACACCAGGGGACTGGTGAGTTGTTGTATACGCTGTGGCCATTACTTGATGATGCTCTCGTATCCATAACCTTAACCTCATCTACGATCTCTCAGGATTATAGTCAGGTTTTCAAGGCTCTCCGGAAGGGACTTAAGTTTATAGCAGGATGAGAGGTTGAGTGTTTGAAGGTTTTTGAGGCTTTCAAGGTTCTCTGGAAGGGACCCTAGTTTCCAGCAGTTTGAGAGGTCGAGTGTTTGAAGGTCTTCGAGGCTTCCAACGCTCTCTGGAAGGTACTCTAGTTCCGCGCACCGAAAGAGGTTGAGTGTTTGAAGGTTTTTGAGGCCTCCAAGGCTCTCCGGAAGGGATTTTAGTTCATAGCAACGTGAGAGGTCTAGTGTTTGAAGGTTTTTGAGGCTTCCAAGGCTCTCTGGAAGGGACTCCAGTTTCTGGCAATGAAAGATGTTGAGCGTTTGAAGGTTTTTTAGGCTTCCAAGGCTCTCTGGAATGGACTCTAGTCTTTCACACCTTGCGAGGTTCAGTTTTTGAAGGTTTTTTAGGCTTCCAAGGCTCTTTGGTAGGGACCTTAGGGAATAACATGCTGAAAGGTCCAGAGTTTGAAGGTTTTTGAGGTTTCCAAGACTCTCTGGAAGGGGATCTCGTCTAGAGGACCCTAGTCTATAGCACCCTGAGAGGTCTAGTTTTTTAAGGTTTTCAAGGCTTCCAAGGCTCTCTGGAAGGGACTTTAGTCTATCGCAGCCAGAGAGGTTGAGTGTTTGAAGGTTTTTGAGGCTTCCAAGGTTCTCTGGAAGGCACTTTAGTTTTTCACACCCTTTGAGGTCCAGTGTCTGAAGGTTTCTGAGGCTTCCAAGAGTCTCTGGTATGACTTTGATACTGGTACAATTAGATAAGTCAAGATGTGCTAGACTCCCAAGTTTGCCAAGCGAGCTTGGTATTTCTGAAATTTCACGTGATCCATTGAGGTTCAGGTAATGTAATCTTGAGAGCCGAGTTATACTCTGTGGAAACTGTCGATCTTGCAGCTCCGGAGCAATAAGAAACTCCAATTGCTTCAGTTGCCCTAGAGCGCTTGGAAACTCTTTGATGGAGCATCCAGATAGATCCAAGACATGCAAGCACTTCGGAAATGAAAATGCACCACCATGGAATTCACAATCCGAAAAATGCATCGCCCTTAACTTAGGTGGGAAAATAGTTGACATCTTCCTTGCCTTGATGTAATCTGAAATATTGCAATTTGTAAGAGATGCATAGCGGCAGTATTCTTTTGTTCTAGCATTGCTCGCTATTTCAGCATCAAAGACAGCCAACTCTTCAGCAATGACCGATCTTGCAAGATCATGCACCAGATCGTGCATGGTGAAGATTGTTTTTGCAAATGACTGAAACAAAAAATAGCATTAATTCCTCCAGAAAAATTGTCAAGAGAATGGTATTGTTTATATAAATGACGTGACATGATGCTTTTAGAAAAAGATTAATATGCTCAACTCAGCAAGCCGTAAGTGGAGAAAGTGGTTGTGGTGCAAATGCAGATGTGTTTAGAGTTATAGAACTGGGAACTGAAATACATATTCTCTCGAAGAGCAGGGGAAAGGATTTACTAAAGGAATGACAGAACTTTAGGGTGCAACAGTGCACTTTACTGACACATATTCAAGACTCTTAATTAATTAATTCCATCTTGCACGTGTTACATATTTTTAGGGAAAATTGTTGTCCAGCCAAATATAGACTGGATTTGATAAGACAAACAAAATACAACACTATGTGTTAACTGTATGAGCAGTGATCCAAATGGGCTGGCTTTTGACAAGGGTACACTACAACAGGATGGATGAAGGAGCTACTTTTATTTTTACTCGAGGCAGGTCCATATATGCCCCCCACACTTGGGGGCAATTTTTAGAGGGCAAAACATATACATGGATTAATGTACCAAACTGTCAACATATATAAGATGTATGTATGCTTCTGCACAGTAACTGTTGCATGCCATTTGATAATTGAGTAAAAAAGAATATTCTTTATTCTATAATGTACAGGTAGTATGCCGTAGTAACTCACCTTGGGCAGTTTTGAATGCTGAAGGAAAGACATCCCCAGGAATTGCCTAACATACTTCTCGCCAAGTTGTATGGCTGAAAAGGTATTAGATGGCTCGATGAAACCAAGAGCGATCCATTGATAGATAAGGTCATCTTTACTTATATTGTGACCTTTATGGAAGATACCACAATAGGCAAAGCATAACCTCAGATATGGTGTAAGAGTATTGTAACTTAACTTCAAGGACGGTAACACTGTACTATCAGAAAATGGTTCATCCCAAATATCACTATTGCACATTGCTTCCCAGTCACTAAGATTCATTCCAGATAGCAAGAATCCAAGTGCTTGAGCTGCTAATGGCAAACCTCCACATTTCTTTGCAATCGCCTGTCCAATTGGTTCAACTTGCGCTTTATCAGCTCTAGATTCAGAGCCACTATTTTGCTTGATTATTCTCCAGCACATGTCATTGTCCAAGAGATCTAACATGTATGGTTCAACAGTACAAATTTTTCTTGCAATGTCTATGCTGCGTGTTGTGACTAAGACCCTCATCTTGGAGCTTCCATTCAACATAAGCTTGAGTTGATTCAGTTGGGAGGAATCTGTCTCCCATAGGTCATCTAAAACAATTAGTGTCTTCTTATCTTGAAGTAAATGTTTAAGATGTTGAATTATTAACTGCCTTGTATCTAGATTCTGGCTTCCCTTTTCTACTTGAGAAATTATGGAGTTCCCTATTTTTTTCATGTCAAACACTTGGGATACATAGACCCATACCCGATGATCATACTCTTTGAACTGAGCATCATTGAAGACCAGTTGTGCCAATGTTGTCTTTCCTATGCCTCCAAGCCCGCAGATAGGAAGAATTGTGATATCTTCTTTGTTGCTGCTTGTGGATAACAAAGAAAGAACATTCATCCTGTCTTTTTCTCTCCCTATGATGAGTGATTCGATCACATATGATGTTGTTTCCCGTGGATCAGGAAACTGGTGCACACTAATTAGGCTGGAGTTATCATGTGTGAATTTGAAACTCTCGTGGTCCTCTTTGATCTTCCTCAGTTGACCTCTCATCTTCTTCATCTTATAAGCCATGGTAATATTGGGTGCAATAGCAAAACAGTCCAACTTCCCAATCATCTATAAGGAATTTCAAAAGGTGATTATGATATAATATAAAACCTGGGAGCAATTACACCCAGCTTTAATATGATGTACTATTTTCGATACCTCTACCCAGTAACTACATGCTGCTTGTTTTGGACGGATGTAAAACATAGCTTCCCTTGTAGTACAATTTTTTATTCTTATATACTTAGTTTCACGGCCGGGATTTGTACACCAGATTTAGGCCCTGTTTGTTTCTGTTTCGCTTGGATTTTAATCACATTTGGATTCACTTTATTGGCGAAGCCAATTGTGCGAATCAACTTCACCATCGAAGTACACTTTGAGGTGCTTCAAGAAATTGCACTAAAAACGGCCCAAATCTAGATTCAGCTTCATTGGCAAAGCTGATTCCAAATAGCTATTTGTTTCAGATTCCAGATTCCAGATTCGGCTTCACTGGCAAAGTTGAATCTGGTCCCAAAATCGGAAACAAGCATGGCCTTAAGTAGGCTAAATGCCTCTTGTACACCTATGGCTTTAATTTTTAGAAGGGCGCCAACAAATTTCAAGCTTGAAACGTTGCAATTAATTAGATTTGTTCCTAATGAACACATGAACAGTAGATTTCTCTAACTGGGCCTCCCCAACACCGTATTTTCACTAATCCTGCACCACTGATCAAGCATGGTTTTGTGGACAATAATATAATTAATAGTCAAATTATTTGACCAAAGCAACAAACTCTGTACTAGCTAGGAATATTAATTAACCAAAAATCGATTGAGATAAGGCAAGGGCGGCATATGTATACCTTTCTGGAGGCTGGTTCACTGTTAGCTTGGAACTCATCGAGCATGTAAGAGATGTCGTAGGCAGCGTTCTTGAGCTGGTTGAGCCACAGCCGCACCAACTCCTCCGAGACAGACCGCCTCTCAGCATCCTTGAGCGCCACCTCCATGTACTGCAATGTGTCCTTCAAGTCCTTGAGGTCGTCCTTGAAGTTCCACAGCATCGTGACCTCATCCCCAATGGCAGAACCCAGTTTATTGCCCACCGCTGAGACAACAGCCGAGGCGAGCAAACCGGCTACATGCGCCATGTTGTTCGTCTTCACACTTTTTCTCTCTCAAGTTGTAGAGTATGCCAACTAGAGGAGGTGAGAACAGCGACAAGTGCCAGAAATGACGCAGTTACCAGCTCATGCATGGCCATATGTTATTTATGACACGATGCATGCTCCACCGAGATGGAAAGGGATCATCTCCCCTCTTAATTGTGGTAATGCACTCAGCACAACACGTTAGCTTTAGCTTTACCAGCAGGCAAGGGTCAAGAAAAGAATCTCAGGTCTTTCTAGCTGTAAAGGAAAAAGGAAAGGAACCATGAGAAGGAAAGAATGTGAACTTCCTCTGGGAAAGAAAGGGATTGAGAAGAATCCTATTCTCTGATGCATGCTTTGGTGTGTATGTAGCTTTTGAGTTCAATGAAGACTACCTAAATCTTTAGTTCTAGACTAGAGTCCACTAATAGGACCGTCTAACAGAAATACCAAAAAACACAGTTTACAATACAGATAGCAGGATCACAAACAAAAGAGGAAAAAGGACAGACCCAGTGCATAGAAGCTCCCACACAAGGTGGGGTCTGAGGAGGGATTATAGGAACCTAGTCTTACCCCTGCAAAGTGCAATGCAGAGAGGCTGGTTCGAACCCAGGACCTCTTGGCACAAGTGGGGAGGACTTCACCACTGCGCCAGGCCTGCCCTCGATCACAAACAAAAGAGAATCAGAAGATTTGTAGGATTACTTACAGTGAACCCACCTTGTTTGTATCTGCAGTGAGGCTGCTTGACCAAATTTAGCAATATGCTTGGCACATTGGTTAATTTTCAATATCCTGCAAAAAAAATATTGCATCAGGATATTAAAAAAGCTGGGAACAAAAAGAGAGAACAGAGATTATGATACTCGTGCTTGCTTGTTGATTGAAAAAAATTCTAAAGGGGGCAGGAATCAGAAATGGCAGAAGGGGAGGAAGCTCCCAGTATTACAAAATTAGGCAACAACACATAGATATTTACAGAAGCCATGGGTGGTTCCTTGCTTGTGGCATGGCCAGTAAGATCCACGTGTAGGGAGCCTGTTGTACCTGCCACCGTTCATCAGGTTTCCTCGACAACGCCTCAGCCTAGCTGTCAGCCATCGAAGAAGCACCGTCTGTCAGTTTTTGAGGAGATGATGCTGAGCCACCGGAGCCGGCACCCCCTGATGTGAGGGAACAGAGGATGCTCTGCCTCAGGGTCAATATCTCTTCTAGCCACCTCTCCCATTGGCCATTTCGCACGCTGCGACCACTCTGAAATATAAGGAAGGCTGAACCCCGAAGCACACAAATATGTAAGAAAAGAAAATGTTTATCTATGGTCAATAGATCCAAAATTTGGGTGCTCTGTTGCTATTTCCAAATCTACCACATCATCATCTACATAATCTGCACAATCAATTCATGGAACGCTTCACGGGATAAAATCGGAGGTTAAAATACAGTTTAATCTAGCCACAAATTCTTCAAAATTATGCAGTAGCACGATCTCTGTCCACAGCATCACAATAAAAGTTTCTGTTTTTACATATCAAATATGCAGTGTCAGCAAATTCATGGTTTAGTTCAAGCATCCATAAATTTGCATTTGATCTTAATATGCAATGAGCGCAACATGAATTTAACTGAAGAAGCAGTAATTGTAGTCGCATGTTATGAGGCAGCAACCCATCACAGGCAGGATGAAATGCAAAACAGACAGAAGATCTTCTTCACCTCCGGCGACCATGCCGCCAAATCTTGACCATAAATCAGTCCGAGCGCTGCCAGGAAAGGTGAACTGAGACGATCGAGGAGGGCCGGGGCGGAGGCGTCGTCAGGATCGTCCCAGAGGTGCGCGTCGCTCCCCATCCGCCCCACCATGGACGGCGCGGCTCAGGCCGCTCGCCTGCAGCCGGAACACCGCCCCTTGGCATGCCTCCCCAACTCTCCCTGGCCGCGGCGGCGAGGCTGGGAGCCGCAGAGCTCGACGGCGGCGGAGAGGTGAACAGAGACGGGCGTGTGCGTGTCATCCACAGAATCTGGGCCGCCATTTTAGAGGGCCTGATGGGCTGGGCTGGGCTGGTATAACGTGGGCCCAACTGCCTTCCTCCCCCAAATCCATTGACGCCGGCGACTCTGCTCGCTCCACCGCAGAGTTTGTGATCAATTCGCTCAAGGTCAGTCAAGTGAGCAGCAGATGAGGGACGGCAGGCGGAAGCGGGACTCGCGGTCGTCAGTGGATTTACTTTAGTTAATGGGCGCTAATACGCGCCGGTTCGCCGGCCAGGATTTGGGCCGATCACACCAACGCCGTATGATTAGCTCATTTTAAACCGTACGATCTGTGACTTCTTCACCCCCTCTTCCTTAGAAAAACAGAGGAAAAAACGCATCGTTGACTATAGCCGCTGTCCACAGCCAGTGTTGCCCGTCGCTCGCCGCGCATCTGCCATAGCCTGCAGCGTCCGTGGCTCGCCATGGCCGTCGGTCGCTGGTCACCGGCCTTGCCATGGTCGTCTTATGTATTCCTCGTCGGATCCACGCATGCAACAATTTTCTCCCCGCAGTTTGCAGCTCCATCACCGACGATGGCAGCACTAGTGGATGACCGTAGCGCCAGTCCCGGTCGCAACACCCCGGGGACGAGCTCGCGAAAAGTACTCGCCTGCGGGTTTGCAGGTGGCAATAAAAAATGTCCGCCAGTACACTAGTAGAAAAAGGGTCAAATGTGAGACACATTAGTCCCGGTTTGTAACAGAACTGGCACTAATGTGTCCATTAGTGCCGGTTCCAACGGTTAGGCGGGAGGAGCTCTTTAGTACCGGTTCGTGGCGAACCTTTAGCACCGGTTCGTGCCACGAACCGATATTAAAGGAGTGGTGGTAGGCTGGCGTCAGGCTGGGGCCCCACGAGCCCCTTTAGTCCCGGTTTGTGGCACAAATCGGTACTAAACGGCCAACAGGCAGCACGTAATTGTATGAAGCCGTTTCATGTTCGTAATTACCATTATACTCTCTCTGTAGAGATATAAGAGCGTTTAGGTCACTAAAGTAGTGATCTAAACACTCCTATATTTTTTTATGGAGGGAGGTAGCTGGCGTGGATCGTGGATGACCATTGAACGCATGAACGTATAGCATTGATGTGAGTATTCTTACGCGAATCCGTCCACCCAAGAATCAAGACAGCGATGTTGTCCGACCGATCCCGTGCATGTCCGTTGTGACGGCGACAACGGGGCAGACTTAATGCACGTCGATGTCATAGGCCGCTGTCTCGCCTATTTAGGCTGCGCTTGGATTGCCACTTTCCAGCCATCCACACGTGTAAAGTACCACTGCGATCTACTTGGATCGTCGTTTTTGCGACGTAACTTTTACACCCGGTTTCACTTTACACTTGGATATCGCTGGTATTTCGTCGGTTTGCAAAACACTGCTATGTCCGTCGTTTTTCCTAGTCGCTGGTATTCCGTCATTCTTGCTCGGTCGTGATTAACTTGGTAGCCACAGCTGAGGTAAGCGCCGCAACGGCTCAACCGGACACTAGTGGAAAAAGAGTCAAACGTGAAGCACATTAGTGCCGGTTTGATTTTGGCCCGGTACTAATGGTACCATTTGTGCCGGTTCGAACGGATTTGCATTAACGCCGGTTCGTGTTGAACCTTTAGTACCGGTTCGTGGCACGAACCGGTACTAAAGGGGTAGTGGCAGGCTGGCGTCAGACCGGGGCCCACGAGCCCCTTTAGTCCCGGTTTGTGGCACAAACCGGTACTAAAGGGCCAACCTTTAGTACCGGTTCGTGCCACGAACCGGCACTAAAGAGGTCTAACCTATAGTCCCGGTTGTAGACACAAACCGGGACTATATGGCAATTTTCAAGGAAAAATCATAACTAAATCATCCTAATTCAGAAAAATATATATAATATATCAAAATTTGCAGAACAAAAAGATTCCAAAGGGAAAATAGAGTTTTTGGACGTTTTTTAGACGTTTTGTGCCTTTAGTGCTAGGGTTTAGATTTCAGAGTTTAGGTTAGGTTTTATGGTTTAAACCCTTAGTTTTTACTGTTTAGCATAGAGTTTCCGACGTTTTAAGTCCCGGGTTTAGGGTTTAGGACAATTTTTGAAATGACAAAATTGTAAAAGGAAAAAAAGATATGCTCTAATTTATGTTTTTTTAATTTTGGTTAAATCTGATCAAACTATGGTCAAACTACTTATTCAAGAAGTATTAATGTTGCTACATAATTATTAAAGAATATTAGTGTTACTAAATAATTATTTCAATTTTTTGAATTTTGGTCAAATCTGGTTAAACTGTGGTCAAACTATGGTCAAACTGTGGTCAAAGTTATTCAAGAAATATTAGTGTTACTAAATGTTTTTTTAGAATAATAGTTCCAAACTCAAACGGTGAAACGTGTGACCTAATGCTCAAGCTAAACTGCTGAGGGTTAATAGGATTGACAACTTACATTTGTCAGGAAAACAACAAGTGCAGACTTGGAAACGAGGGAGAATAGAACTCGAAAGTTAAGCGTGCTCATGCTAGAGTAGTGAGAGGATGGCTGATCGTTCGGGAAGTTAGATGATTTGGAATGATGAGGGGTGATTAGAGATTAGATATTAAATTGAGTAGTGGTGAGGGGTGATTAGAGATTAGAGGTTAAAATAATTCAAAAAATTGAAAATCGAAAAAAAAATCAAATATTTTTTACAAAAATTTCAAAAAGAAAATCAAAACAAAATTGAAAAATAGTTCCAGCAAAATCTGAAGAGGTTCCAGCAAAAAGTTCATGGCGGGCACCGCCGTCACCGCCAAACAACCATCTTCGCCCAATGTAGCAAAGTCGAATGATGGTTCCAGCAAAAACAAAAGCGGTTCCAGCAAAAAACTGATGTAGCAAAAAAATCATGGCAGCAACATGGCATCATCTCTCTCAATTTGTAGCAAAAACGAAAGAAGGTTCCAGCAAAAAAAAATTGATGCCGCAAAAAATCCATGGCGGCCA